AAAAAAAAAAAGGATTTGTATGAAATTTAACAACTTCATTTATTCTTGTTGAGATGACATGATGCAATCTAGTAAGAGTGGTTAGTTGCCCGGACTCACAAAATTCAGAAGATCACACAAGATTTCAAACAACAGGAATAACACTGGAGTTATAAGAGGCAGACAACTATGCACGCATCACATGTATGCTGCTGCTATTTATTGTGGTTTAACCTCTCAAGGACAAAAAATGCTGCATCAAACCTTGTAATCATAGTTTTAATACTTTTGTGACTCATATACTGGCAGCTCAGTGGTGCAGTGGTTAGCACTGTTACCTCACAGCAAGAAGTAGGAGAAGGAGTTCAAATCCACAATTGGGCAGTGGGTTCCATCTGGTTCGCAGTTATTACGCCTAGGTTAATCTGTCATTGTAAACTAATTTTAATGTTTTTTTTCTCTGTATGTGTTAGCCCTGTCATAGACTGTCCAGGGTGTACCCTTCCACTTACCCTATCACATCTGGGATAGGCCCCAGCTCCCCCACAACCCTGATGAAGATAAGAGAGTGGAGTGAAAGTTGTTATAAATCTATTACGTTTTAAGTTAACTAGACTGTTGAAGATTATGTAATATGAAGACAACATATAGTACTTAAGGGACCAAGTACTATTGGGGTACTAACCAATGTCCACTATTCAATTAAATAAATCCAACATGTTCTTTGAACAACATTGCTTTTATTTTCACAGACTGGACACAAAAATGAAACAAACATGAAGGCAAAAAAGAACCAAAAACTAGAGACAAAAGTAATTAAAACTCAGAGGTTTCGAAAAACAAAATATAATAATCCTATAATTCCAAAGAAGTGTTTTGGAGTTTGCTTGTGTTTTGGATTTTGTATGTGTTTTGTCTCTAGGGGCCATGGTAATGACCATATGCACAGAGCATGCACAAGAATTTAAATTTGCAATGCTCCCATGGCCCTCAGTGTATGCACAACAATGAAGAACTTAAAGATAAAAAGATTAAAATAAATGGTTTGGTATGGCTGTGGGGCAGGTGGTTCAGAGGGAAGAGGTGAATGCAGGTCTGGAGTGTTTGTGTGTGAGAGAGTCGAGAGGGACAGAGCAGGGATAGCCTAAAGGCCGGAGAGGGGAGGTGCATTTCACCATAGGCCTTGAATGCAGCTATGGACGAGTGCGCCGGACAACAGCAGCATGTGGCGCAGCTTTAAAGGTATGAAAAGTGATTAGATTTATTTAAGTTTCTTATATCTATGTCTTAAGGTTTCTGTTGAATAGGAAAAGTCCCCCAAAAATCTAAATTTCAGCATTTTCTGTCTGAATGTAAGAAAGTTATTTCACAATGATGCTAATATTGGTTAGCTAGTTGATAATTTGGAAATATGTTTTAGCTAAGTAGCCCGAATAAGCAAACCACATATAAATTAGACATTCAGAACTGACTTAGCTTAAAAATCAAGGTACGTTTGATCAAACTTGGTCTTTGACAACCAAAGTTTCAATATTTTGGGGGATTTCAACTTTCTATGATTTATGATTTTAAAATAAAAAAGTTTATTAGCAGCCTCAGGTTTTTCATGTGCAAGCTAGGAATGAGGATTAGTTTGTTGATTAAGAGGTGCTAATCAAAAAGAAGAAACTAGCCTAACTTCACATACAGGTCTATTATGATATTTGTTTTATTTATTTATTATGTCACACATATGTCACAAAAAGTTGATTTGCAAAATACAGATTCCTCAAGCGATGAGAGTGAGTCAGCGGCTGTTTAATATGGACATTAAACAATAAGAGATCCAACATGTCCTCTGATCTGGACCGACAGCACTGATCACAGTGAGGATTACAGAGTCTGTTACACATACTAGTCGTTCTGTGGTGAAGGAAATGCGTCTATATTAGAAGGACCAGACCTCATACTTCCATTCTTCTTGTTATCTCCAAACACCTTCTTGTCCCATTTACGTCTCTGTTCTAGTGTTCATGTCCCACCCTCTCTCTCTTTGCTCGTTTGTCACTTCCTCTCATTGCAACCAGGGAGATCTGCCTGACCCAGGATCAGACACTGAACCTCAGCCTGAGGCAAGGGTGGGCAACTCTAGGCTTCAGGGCTGGTGTCCTGCAGGTTTTAGATCTCACCCTGGGTCAACACACCTGAATCACATGATTAGTTCATTCCCAGGCCTCTGGAGAACTCCAAGAAATGTTGAAGAGGTCATTTAGCCATTTAAATCAGCTGTGTTGAATCAAAGACACATCTAAAACCTGCAGGACACCAGCCCTCGAGGCCTGGATTTGCCCACCCCTGGCTGAGGTGTAGATAGTTGTTTACCATTCATTCTATTGAATTTGATTTATAGAGCACCAAATCATCACAGCTGTTGCCTCTCATCTTCTATCAATAAAGTTATGTTGTATATTCACTCTCATGTTGTTTACCTTTTACATTAGAGCAGCCAAATCTATATTAAAAATACTGCAAACTTACTGAAGCTGCATGTATGACCATGTGTTTCTGCACTTGTGCACAATGGTACCTCTGTCGTTCTCTCTCACAAACAAGAACACAGACACACACACAGCCTTTATCTTAAACGGTGCAATATAATAAATATAATTATCACATGTTTAGTCATTACCACAAACATAAATTATTTTTTTCTTTGATCGGAGGATCAATCAGCGAAAGAGATGCGCTACCGTAAACCTCAGTGTAGAAGCGCAAGGAAAATTAACCCGCGGCTGCCGTCACCTGACCACATGTCCCGGTAAGTCACGTGTGTGGAGGCTCAAATGCAGCAATGCGTAGCTGTAGTGTCTCCGTGATGTACGAACATATATAAAGAGGATTGGATCCCCACAAAATGCGCATGTCAGTGTTGGTGTTGGAGTTTAACTTGTGACGTAGAGGAGCTCGTTACCATGGAGCCTGCCGACAGAAGAAGGGGTTCCCCTCTATGGCAGCACTTTGAGCTGATCTCTCCCAATAAGGTACTGCACACAATATACCTCCATCCTTCATGCATCCTTCCTCCATCCTTCATCCATCCTTCCTCCATCCTTCCTGCATCCTTTATCCATCTAT